CCTAAACCTCAACGTTTTGCTATTTATAACCTTCCCCTCACCCTCATCCTAACCTTAACCCTCTCGCTACCTAAAACGTTACTCTCACTGTGATCAAGCGTTTGTTTCCCATGCATTCTGACTGTGAGTTTTCGTATTTGCCGCCCAAGGGGGAACGTTAGAACATACCATCTGGTGAGGGGGAGGTTACAAATAGAGCGACCGGCACATCACTGACGTGTTCGCTAGCAAGATGGTTAAGGTTAGGATAGGGGTGAAGGGAAGGTTAAATAACAAGAGGATAAGGTTAGGGTGAGGTACAATGAGCTTGTTTGGTGCCCTGGCTGCGGACATCCCATCGCGTCAGTGTAACGCTGCATTGGGATCTGCAGTCAGAAAAGGGAAAAATCCCTTTTCACACATAAGAAATGAAAAAGGGTCTTTTTGGCATCAGGGGTCTGACGCGGAGGGTGGCTGACCAAGCGTTTGTTTTTGACGCGATATTTTTTAAGAATGAAAACTCTAGCATACAGCACCAACTTTTTCAGGCCTTGTAATGTTGGACAAAACTCAAACTCTACATCTTAAAAAGGAGCTGATTGTTACTCTAATTTATCACAGATGAAGTTTGAATTTGGATGCAGTTTTTATTACATTAAATCATGTGGTTCAATGAGCTTATAATTCAAAATAATCCTGAGGCGGCGTGAGAACAGAAAATCCATCAAAAAACTTTAAATACTTGGAATGAATGAGTCAGATGCCTAAAACTTTAGAACAGAAGTCCAAAGTACATTTTTTATTAATAGAGCATTCCAGTATACTCCAAAATAATACTGCAACTCCTGAAGCAATGCACGTTTGCATTTCTACCTACTAAAGACAAGCTCTAGTTTAGAAAGCAACTAATTAATTTACTTCCAATCAACACTGAAAAGCACAAAAAACACATTTAGTCTAAACGCTTCAACTCTCATGAAGCTTTCTCTGAAGTTTTAAAGTGCAATCCCTCCTAAATCTTGCTGTATATCCTGTTGGTGCTGATGATGAGAGATGAACTGCTCCAGTTCTTTGATTTGTGCTCGTTAGCAAAGCAATGCCTCTCTGATCTTATATAAGACTTCTACAACATGCACTCTCATTACTGAAAAGGCCAAGATGACATGGAGCCTGAGCTGCAGCAACATGGCTGAGCAACACCAGACATACTTTTACAGACATCCTCGACATCAAAGGGAACGGCTAGAGCAAAACTCAGGAGGGTAGGGCATCCAAGGGATAATCTGACAGAGGAACTACTGAGTTTTAAAGGATGTCAAACCATTTAGTACAGAAAGGAAAAGATGGAAACAAATAAACTTATTTTTACAACCTAACGGGGATCAAGTAGAAACTTCTGGGATCGAGTCTCTATAAAGATGTCTAACTCCTTGTAGCCATTTTTGGAAACAGAGAGGTGCGCCTCCACACGTTCTTACTCTCAACAACATTACGCCAAAAAAAAAAGAAGTCACAAACTTACAGCTGCTGAGTTCCCGGCAACCTGCCCATTTACGCCATTCTCCACAAGTCTAGAAGTCTACAAGTTCTGCAAATAAAACAATTCTGTCAAGCACCCTCATGCTCCCATCCCTGCAAATACACTCACACCCTCACATGCGTCAGCAAATGAACCTTTGCTGACAGCTGACATGATGACAGCGACTGACATAGCAGTGAGGCGGTCTACGTAGGGGGTGAGATGACTCAACCAAGGTGTTGTGTGCAGAATACTCCAGACTTTGGTCCCGCTTGTTTTATCTGTCAACATTACTTGTACAAGTCTCATATTTCTGACTGACATCTGTTTCTCATTTGATGCTGCGAAAAAATAAAAATAAAAAGTCTCGTTCCGCTGCTCTTGAAGGAAACACTGGACTGACGATTCGAGGCTCAAAACAAAAAACAGTTCGGGAAGTGAAATCTGGGTTACATTACAGCGTCGGTTTCTGGATGCCCATCTTTCCTTCCTAACCGCATCTTCAGTTCTCCCTGCTCCGAATTACTCGACTCATCTATTTAGCATTTCTGGCGGAGACAACATGCAGTGAAATTTGTTGGCAAGTGAAATAAATAAATAAATAAATAAATGAACAAGAACTCACAACTACAAAATTATCTAGGGTGTAGTTTAATTGGGTCCAATTTGTTTTCATGAAAGGGGAGTAACATGAAGCGTGAATGGGAACCAGCGACTAGGAAATGCTTATTCTGCTTCACATTCCATGTTTCATTTAGGGGGTGACTTGGCTCATGGGTTAAAAGTTTGTCTTGTAACTGGTGCGTTGCCGGTTTGAGCCCGGCTCAGTCTGTCTAAGTCATTGTGTCCATGGGCAAGACTTTTCTCTCATCTTGCCAGCTGCTGGTGGTCAGAAGGGCCGTGGTGCCTGCGTAAGGCAGCCTCACTTCTGTCAGTGAGCCCCAGGCAGCTGTGACTGCAATGTAGCTCCTCATCATCAGTGTGTGAATGTGTGTGAATGGATGAATGAGTGTTTGTGTTGTAAAGCACTTTGGGGGGTTGTAGAATCTTAGAAGGTGCTACGTATATAAATACCAGCTCATCCCCATAAGTGAGTGAATGGGTTAATGTAGTGTGAAGTGCTTTGGAGTCCTCTGACCCAGAAAGGTGCTGTGGTGCAGATCGTGCACCAGGTGCATCGAGGTGCTCAGGTAGCTAAAATTGGCTGTTTTTGTCCGTGTTATCCTGACTGACAATAGCCACTAGTTGTAAAAATTATTTCTTGATACATCTAATAGAAGCTGATCTGACAGATTCCTTCTAAGGTACTTTAAAGATTTTCTGATGGAACAATATTTCTTTAACACACGTAGGAGTAGCTCAAATCCACCTTAAAGCAATAAGTGAAAGAAAATCACAGATTATAAACTTCATTCACTGAATCAACTTTGAATGATCTAAAATGCTACATATTGCCGTTAACTACCTAGAAAAAACGTTTTTTCTTGAATGATGCCGTCGTCGTCTTCCTCCGTCCGGGTCGCGGGGGCAGCATCCCAACTAGGGAGCTCCAGACCGTCCTCTCCCTGGCCACCTCCACCAGCTCCTCCTGCAGGACCCCAAGGCGTTCCCAGACCAGATTGGAGATGTAACCTCTCCAATGTGTCCTGGGTCGACCGGGGGCTTCCTGCCGGCAGGACATGCCCAAAACACCTCCCCAGGGAGGCGTCCAGGAGGCATTCTGACCAGATGCCCAAACCACCTCAACTGACTCCTTTCGATCCGGAGGAGCAGCGGTTCTACTCCGAGTCCCTCCCGAATGTCCAAGCTCCTCACCCTATCTCTAAGGCTGAGCCCGGCCACCCTACGGAGGAAACTCATTTCGGCCGCTTGTATAGTGATCTCGTTCTTTCGGTCATTACCCAAAGCTCATGACCATAGGTGAGGATTGGGACGTAGATCGACCGGTAAATCGAGAGCCTGGCTTTCTGGCTCAGCTCCCTCTTCACCACGACAGATCGGCTCAGCATCCGCATCGCTGCAGACGCTGAACCAATCCGCCTGTCGATCTCCCGATCCCTCCAACCCTCACTCGTGAACAAGACCCCGAGATACTTTCCTCCACTTGAGGTAGGACCGATGCTGAGTTGGCAAGCCACCCTTTTCCGGTCGAGAACCATGGTCTCAGATTTGGAGGTGCTGATCCTCATCCCAGCCGCTTCACACTCGGCCGCGAACCCACCCAGCAAGAGCGGAAGGTCAGAGCTGGATGAAGCTAGGAGAAACACATCATCCGCAAAAAGCAGAGATGAGATTCTCCTCCCACCACACTTGACACACTCCACACCACGGCTGCACCAAGAAATTCAATCTGAGATTCAACTATCGATCGGACCCTCCTCTCCAGTACCTTGGAGTAGACCTTTCCAGGGAGGCTGAGGAGTGTGATCCCCCTATAGTTGGAACACACCATCCGGTCACCCTTCTTAAAGATGGGGACCACCACCCCGGTCTGCCACTCCACAGGAACTGCCCCTGATGACCACGCAATGTTGCAGAGACGTGTCAACCATGACAGCCCTACAACATCCATAGCCTTGAGATACCCAGGACAAATGCTTTTATTTTAAATCCAATTTTAAATGAAATCTTCACCCCTTCCCCAATAAACAAATACATATAAAAAAAGGCATCCTTGACAGACATTGTCCGGAGGTTCATCACCAGCTTAACTCTGCTTGCTGCTACAAAGGGCTCCTGAGAGAGCCAGAAATAACCAACAGCTTAGTGAAGACATAAATAAACCACCAGCTAAGGAGGAAGTTTTACACGTGAAGATGCTTAAAAAACACGTGATCGGTTCTAAGAGACCACAGACAAACACTCTTTTAGTTCATCCACTCCAGTGGGGTTTACATAGTTTTAGAAAAATATGACATTGGTGTTAAACAGAACAATGACTAATTATCACACTGAACACAGTAAGTGAGAATAACACGTGGCTCTGTCTTGCTGCAAGCTGAGAATCCATTCAACTAACAACCGTATTTGGACTCCTCCCATAATGTACCACACCATAAATCACCATCTGCTCTAGGGACGTTCAATACAGACTAGACTGTGGAGGTCCCAGCACCACGAGATTTAAGCAGGTCACAAGAGTCTGCAAGCAAGCAAACATGCACAGCTGTAACTGCATTTCTCTTATGTCAAACTGTTCAAATGCACCAAAGTTAAGCACCTCCAATAAGTAGAGGGTTAAACGTGTGCAAAGTGGGTTTCAGGTAAACAAATGTGCTTAGTGCAGCTAATTATATAAAATCCTTGTTTCTGGTTTTTCACTATAGGTACTGCTGAGGCAAATCTGCCGAAAACGCCTGATAATATCTCTACAGTGACCTGTTTAAAGAAACATATAGAAGAATGATCTATTTATAAGCAACAAGAGGCATACATTACTGGAATGAGCAACATGTTACAGCACAGCAATTTGAAGAGTTGTCATTATAACAAGGTTTCTTACCTCTCCTAAATGTGGATTAGGGTTGAACCCACAACGATTGCAAACTTCCTTCTTGCAATCAGTGCACAGGTTGTGGTTGGGTGTGTCTGCTGACCCGATATTCAGCTCCAAATTACAGAGAGGGCAGTTCTTCTTGGGAACAGAAGCCGAAGCTTGAACTGATTCAGCAGCTTGGACTTTCTGTTTCTGTTCTACAGAGCTTTGTCTGGGGGGTTTCTTAGAACCAGCAGGTGGAGTGTCTGGAGCAGAGTCTGAGTCTGGGGGAGAACCAGGAGCAGAGAATGGAGAGTCAGGTGGTGAACCAGGCCCTGATTCTGGAGCAGAGCGTGGTGATCCAGGGGGAGACTCTGGCGCCTTGACATCCTCTCCAGAAACGAGAATGGTGGCTGAATTCAGGAGAGACGATCCAAAGCTGAACACTTGAGAAGCAGCAGCAGGAGATTTAGCCGACTCCCCTAACCCCCCAAAACCTCCAAACAACTTCCCAGCCACCGACTCCTCTTGTTTAGGAGCAGCCTGTGCTGGAGGCTTTGATGAGTCCATCAAACCACCAAAACCACTGAACAGTTTTCCTGTGACAGATTCAGCAGCTTGTGTAGCAGCTGCAGGAGGCTTAGCTGCATCTGTGAGGCCTCCCAAACTGATACCCCCTAAACCACTGAAGAAGCTGGACTCCTGTTTGGCTTTAGCTGGAGACTGCTGAGGACTAGACTTCTGCTGAATGGGACGACCTGTCTTGGGGTCAATTTTGGGAGACCCTGCTGCTGATGAACCTGGGGAAAGGGGTCCTGGAGACAAAGGACTTGGGGATTTCTGCCTTGGTGTTGTTGGTGGTGTTAAGCCCTGGTCGGTGGTGCTCTGCTGCTTTATCAGCAGCTTTCCAGGTTTACCAGACGCCTGTCTCTGGGGCGAGGGTGGAGCTGAGCCTTGTTTGGGCCTCGCCATGCCAGGTGGGTCCATTCCTCCCATTGCTCGCTGCATCTGGCAGTTCAGACATAGCCATTCTTTACCCTGCAAATAAAACAGATTTCCAAATGACTGTAAACATACATATCAACATGACTCAGCACCTTCACATGAAACAAAACAAACTAACTACATTATCCTTGTGTTTATGTGCTTAGTTTAGTTGGCTTCCTAAAACAAGACCCTTCAAACCCAGAAACAGCTAGATGGTCATTCAGAGGGATGCACATCGTTTCTATGTCAACGCCGGTTTAATTAAATGTTGATAATAAATGTCTCAATTCAACGTGTTTGTTTTTACCATCCAACACACCTGTTCACAAAAAAATGGCTTCATCACAGAGCTCTTTGTTTAGTGTTAGGACATCTCCTTGGTTTCCACTGTGTGTGAGACACGGTGCTGAATAAGTCCACTGTTGACAGTTTGATCGCTATCTAGTTAAAAGCAGTGGATGTAACCATGCTTCCTGCTTACACGTATGTCGACAGTTTCATAAGCCCAAAATGTAAATAATGACTTTTTCTTTGGCACTAAAAAATGGGAGACAGCTGACCCCAGATTTGATCCACAATGCCTGAAAAGAAAACAAAAGCCCAGGCAGGCAGAACCGGTTATTCAGCTGTGTTTAATCATCATGGCCCACCGGCATTTACAGTTCATGTGTGGCAGTGTCCTCACTCGCTGGCACAGTATTTTCCTGTGGCCCTGATATGAGTCACCTTGATCAGCATTCCCTGAGTCCATATGGTCCCTCAATTTCTCAAATCATGTGTGGTGCTTTCATGAGACACACTCCCTCCTCTACCAGGCACGGCAGACAGCGATACGCTCAATTGTGTTTTGAAAATATTTGACATTCATGGATTTCCAGACCCTTCTACAATTAAAATTTGACAGGTTATGGTGAGCTGTTAGTTTGTGAAATTGTATGTGTGCATTTACTGATTGTATTATGAGTCCAAATAAGGACTATTTTCAGCTAAATTGGCCCTACTCTTTCTATGGGGCTAGGTTCAGGTTGAAGCAGTCTTCTGAGCATTTGACCAAATTATGAAGACAGATGGAGTTAAGAGAAATCATAGCTGTTGTCTTACCGCTGAGTCAGGGGGGCTAAAACCACAGAGACTGCAGACCTGGTTCTTACACTCGGTGCAGCTGTTGTAATTTGGTGGGTCCTTAGATCCGGTGTTCAGCTGGGTGGTCTTGCACAATGGGCAGAGTCCCCCTGCTGGCATTCCAGCTTTTTGTTGCCCAGGAGGACCCTTTACCAACATTCCAGGATGGCCCTGCTGTTCTTGGGGCTTATTTCCAGGCTTTTCAGATCCTTGTTGGGGAAGACCAGCTTTTTGTTGAGGAGGCCCACCTTGGGCTGGTTTCGATACTTGCTGCCCTGAAGAATCTTGACCTGGTTTTCCCTGACTTTGCCTGGGGGCCTGCCCCAGGGGTCCTTGACCAGGAGGACCTTGACCTGATTTAGACCCCTGACCTTGCCTAGGTCCTTGACCAGGGGGTCCTTGGCCTGGAGGTCCTTGACCTGATTTGGGTCCATGACCCGGGGGACCCTGACCTTGCCTGGGTCCCATCCCAGGGGGTCCTTGTCCTGGTTTTGGTCCTTGCCCAGGAGGACCTTGACTTTGTTTTTGGGGTCCTCCTTGCTGTGATCCTTTTGGGCTCGGTCCTTGCTGAGGACCTTTTCCCAGTGGCTTCCCTCCTTGTTTGGACTCAGTTTTTGCAGATGCATCTTCCACTTCTTCATCCCCAAACAGCCCAAACTTGGGGATGTTGACAGCATCACCCATTGATGATATGGAGGATGAAACAGAGGATGTCATTGATGATACCGCACTGAGAGGGTTTGCCCCACTGAGGAAGCTGGAACCAAACATGCCGGATGACTTGGTCTCAGGGCCTTTTGGCTCCTGCCGGAATCGAGATTCAAAGAGGCTGAGGGATGAGGGGCTGCGGCCTGGTGTGGGCTTGCCAGGTGGACCCTGATTGAAGGCGTCAACAGTTCTGCTTTTACTTAAACCTGTTGGGCCCCTGGAGGCCCCTGTCTGCTGGTATTGTTGCTGAGCATCAGATTCTGAAGGTCTGGAAAAGAGACAAAGAGACAGCATTTGTTATAACCATATGTGTTTTATTTGGCACTGTCTTCAAATGCTAGTTGCCAAGTCCACACCGACTCACAGCTGTTCTAGAACAAAAATAAACCACCAAACGGAGCCTCACACTCTGATATCTGAAATGTACTGCAATGTACTTCTGCTCTAAATATTTCATGTATGCTATTCATTATTATTCTGATGGAATTTTTTAACATCTGGTAGCAGTTAATAGTTAGCCTGTGGCCAATACAAACACATTCAGAAAGATCCAGTTGTGAGTGCATTGTTCCTGAGAAGAAACAATAATGTGTTTGTCGACACCAGATATGCTGAAGCACACACACATTCATCCTGGGGACATATTGTCCTAAATTATGAATAGATTAACAAAAAGAATGCTACAAACCCCAACGTTAAAACCTCATCTGAGTCAAACTACTGAAAACACATTATGAACACATTGATTGTTACATTAAATGTGTTCTAGAATTCCAACCCGCATTTACCTTGTAGTTGCTGAATATAGGCAGATGTGGGTGTCTAATGTAGCATACCAAAATATCAGCACTGTCTTGTGCAAATAAGCATTATTTAACAGTCAAATAGAAATTGTTTGTTCTGAGAAAAGTTTCTTTAACATGTCACAAGATTAGACATACCACCTTACAGTTTCATATCTCAACCCACTTAAACCTAAATGCTGATGAAAATACTGCTAACCACGGAGCAACGCTTGCCTGAGCTCATGCTAACGTCTTTTGTCGCATAAGAGGAAAACAACAAAAAAGAATGTTGGAACATAAATGTAATGTTCCAGGATGTACTAGGATCATCCAGACTATGAATGAATGTCAGATACATACATCCATACATACATCTATACGCTTTATAGTTTCAGGCTCATCAAGTCATCAGAATAAACTGGCCAATCAGCATGCAGCTCATGTAATAGTTGTGTCCTTGCCAAGTGGGGTGGGTAAACCATTCTATTTGTATTATGGGGTTGTGTTTTACCATTTTATCAGTGCTCCTGGGCTATTGCTAGCCCCATCATGCTACACTGAGGATAAAAGAACAGTTTGCAATAAAAATATTGCATTACATGCCAAAAATGTTTTGCTGTGCTTACAAATACAAAGCTAAAGCCCTCTACCTCCCTCGATCTGCTAAACACATCACTGAACAAAAAAATGAATGAATGAAAAATGAGTAACTGGCAGATTTTGTTTAAAGTTTACAGAAAACATGAATCCTAATAGGTAGCCTAAGTCTCCTCCCTTTCCGGTCAGCTCATGGGAACCCGGAAGAACGAAAAAAATTTATGCAAGTCAACGGAGCTAAAAGAGCAATTTTCTGATCTGCTTTGCCTTACGCCCTGGATCACAAATATGTTCTACTTCTATTAAAATGAAAAGTAATGATGGGTGTTTCGACCATGCCAGTCACATACTTTTGAGATTTATGAGCTTGTCTGCAAGTCGCATAAATGACGTCACCACAGATTCTCCTCTGCCCCAGCATAGCTGCTACTTACCTCAAGGCAAGATTTATGGTGGTTCTTTCCTCCCGAAAGAAGGATTCAAGGTTTGCTGAACTTACAGCCATTTTCTTCTGCTAATCTCTGTGTCTCGTTCAATGATGTCACTTTAATGATGCACATTTGTAGTCCTACTCATCTTTTCACACAAAACCTAAAATAACTTTCAAAAGTAAGTGTTTTCTTGGCATCAAAATGTGTTTTTAGAATTAATGGACACCATATGTAAAATCCATAGCACATAACAAACTGTATTATTAAATAGCATATAGACCCATTGACTTGCATTCACTTTTCATTCTTCCAGGGACCCATGGTCCGGAAGTAGATAGGATAACTTAGGCTCCCTATGAGTTATGTAGATTGCAGATTACTTAGACAGAGAAATTTGTGGTGCGCGCGCGCGCACACACACACACACACACACACACACACACACACACACACACACACACACACACACACACACACACACACACACACACACACACACACACAACTAAAGCCAAATTGATATTAGAGGATAGCATCAGTGTACTGCTAATGGACTGGCTGTTCTTGCATGGATACAACACATGAATATATTGCTGGCATTTCCATGTCCCTGATGCATTGCCTTGATTAAATTACACTCTCGGGCAATAAAGTTTTAATGTCATAATGAATGTAGCATCTGATTATTTTCATAGTGAGTAATATGACTGTAAGGGGGTAGCTGGATTGTGTTGTAATTTCGGGATAGGAGCCCGTTTTCTGCCGCGAGTGTTTCAGCACCACGGACAGCGACAGGGCTCAAACCAATGCTTCTGACGGCGGGAGATAGAATAAACACCAAGAACACAGCAGGGGGAATGTTCTGGGGACAACATTAACGCCCCTGTTCTATTTTTAGTCATATTAATAATAATGCACCCCTCCCCCATCTCCAGCTCCGTAATAAATAACAATTATACTCCAAGTTAGAGCCAATTAGCAATAAAGAGCGTCAGTGTATCCAGATGGGGACAAGAATTAAAAATTAAATCCCAATAAGACGGATGTTTTTTGTTTGTTTTGTTGCAGATCTTCGCTGCCGCGGATAAACAGGATTTTTGACACGCCTGATTAAATCGGTGGGATTCAATTGGGAACAAACGCCAAATAATCATGGTTCATTTGTTTGGATCGGTGTTAAAGCGTCGTAGGAAGAGAAGAAAATAGCACTGGGTACGTCAGGTTTTCTTACCCAGCAGGCATTTCGACAGTTTCTCACAAATAGTCTACTGGAGGTGTGTCTCCGAGCCAAGGCTCCTCTGATTTCACACTGAACAAAATGATCAGATCAAACCCATTTGGTTTCTCTGATGGGTATGAACACCAAACGCTCCAGTCTGAATCTTTTTTTCTTGGAGCTATTTGCGATGAGTGGAACATCAACACCATCACCGGATGTTGGTGTTAATCCATCACAGTGAGCTCAGTTGAATAATGATTTCTTGTGCGGTTTGTAGGACTGAAAATGGGCGTGAACGGCTCTCCGCCTCCTTATTGCATCCCACCGAATGATGCACACAACCACAGACATCCACTCGCTCTCTCCCATTCAAGTCTCAGTGGAGGTATTTGAGATGTATTAAAATAAGGGGGTTGAAATTCCCTGCCTTCGTGCGGCCGCTGGAGCTCCGGGCTGCCTGCCTTGTGCCCTGGCCATCGCCGCGGAGAGCTGCCTCCTCTCCTCCTCGCTTAGGCCGCTCAGGTTGACCGGAGACCCATCGGAGACCCTGACGAAGCCGCCCTTCCCGTCAGGTGCCAGCCCCTCCGGTAGCCCAGATGGCGGCCCATCGCCTCCTTCCAGACTCGCTTCGTTCCCCATGATCGACCCCTCCCGTCCCCTGTATTCAGATCGAGCTGTCTTCGCTTTATTATCTCAAAAGACGGCTTCCCTTGCTGTCTCGAAGCATTTCGGGTGATTTAGATTGCTGTGGTTAGTTTCCAGCCTTGTGCTGCTTCTCCAATTCCATCGTTTGTGGTTGTTTTTCTGTCGCGCATCTCTGCAGCTGTACACCACAGTTACCACAGTTTTCCGCGAGCGGGGTCTTCGTTTTACTTCTGCTCACAGCCACAGAAAGTCGTTTCCGGAACAAATTTACAAAATAAAATACCCCATTTTTCATTTCTGAAAAGATCATGACTTGAAACTTTATTTTTGAAATTAATGTTCTCATCCACGTGCCCTCTTAGCCTGCTACAATAAACAAAACAAAATCTCTTAAAATGAACTTCCCAGAAACGTAGATTTTATTTTATTTTTGTTTTACACCTCAAATCCAATATTCAACACTTTATTCTGAAGGTAAAATAAAACTTCCGCTTGTACTTAAGTAATTTTGGTAACCTTTATGCAATTTCTCCTTTCAACTGCGCATGCTCCTGCTCTGACAAGATACCTTAAGACATCCACGGAGAAATAATGTATTTAAAGGCACATCTCAACTATTTATATCCAATATGATTCCCTGCAAATTCCAGACAATCTGAGTGAGACGATTTTAATCAGCTTCGACTTACATGAATGTTTTTTCCTTTAATTTGTGGTTTAAAATAGATACAAAATTATTTTAAGAGGCATTTGTAAATAAACATCGTGGGTGAAAAGTCGTGGTCTCTTCTCTGACCTCTTCAGGCCAAAAGGGTCTTGTGTAAGGAGAATTCCTCCTGGAGAAGAAAAAACATCATAGCAACCTGATTCATGATTGATCTTGCAGGGGTGCCTGAAAGCTGATTTCTCTACACACTTCTGCCACCTGAGCCAAACATGAAAAAATGAAAAAAATTATGCATTCTAAATATGCAAACAAAAAAAAATATGTGGGATCTAATTTATACCATGATTCATCTGCAGACCTTTACAAATGTCGTATCTGTTTTTAAATATTTTATGATCGTAGTCTGTTAAAACTAGACACGTGATCTGGCAGGCTCTGTATCTTCTCAAGAAGATCTGATCATTAGTGTTATCTGAAAGCATAGGGCATGATCATGGAGAATTCCATCTTTACAAAAACAACAAATGCAAATTTGCTAATTTTAATCTGTAGACATTAAAAATGTGTCAATCCACACACTGCAAATAAAACCTGCAGTGTATTTAGCTCTGCAGTGATGAGAACATGCTCAAGCAGCTACCGGATCCAGCAACAAGGATAATAAAACACGTCGGCTCTGCTCTGTATCAATGGGACGTGTAATGATATGACAGCAAGTGCTCATTTGCTGTGTTGCCGTTGGAGCTTTCGGGCAGATGTGTCCTCCTCCATGGAGAAAACTCACTGCCTCAAGCACCTTAACAGGAAGCTCACAAATAAGACAACGTTTCTGCTAGTTAGATGTTAGACTACATGCATCATCCTCCACATGTTTGTTTATACCGAATTGTTTATGCTGAATTATGATTTAATTGCGGTAGAAGAAAAAACAGAGCAAGAATGGTGGTGCTGTTACTTTTTATTGCACATAATTTAAGGAAATTTTTTATGATTTCTGTGGTGATTGTGATTTCAAATATACCTATGAATCTGTCAACAAGAATGTTGGTTCACTCTTTGTAGGTTAGCTGCTGAAGCTTTGTGGGATGTCAATGGTTCCTTCTCCAGTTCCAGCTCTTTCCACAGATGTTCAACATCATTCAGATCAGGAGCCACAGAAGAAAATGTCTGTTCTGCTTTGTTCCTTTTATTCAGGTTTTGGTTTCTGTTACTGGCTTTCTGATCATCTCTGTTTCTGTGTTTTGAGCAGGTCAGCTGCAGCTCATTCCAATAGTCCCTCACTGTGGTAGTTACTTTCTGATTATAGTTTTTCCCACTGTGTGTGGTGAATTTTGTGTGGTGATTTTTGGTTATTAAAAATGCTGAACCAGAACGAAGGCTTGTTATTCCTGCGATTGGGTTACTGCCGGAGCCCCACCGTGACAATGTCAGAACACCCCACTGGTGTCATCCAGGGGTGTAATCAGAAGACCCATGGCCTTTATAATAATAATAATAATATAAAGAAGAATAAGAAGAAGAAGAATAAGAATAAGAATAAGAATAAGAATAAGAAGAAGAAGAAGAAGAAGAAGAAGAAGAAATGGGCCCAAAAGAGGATGAGAGAAACATGGGAGGAAAAACCAAGGCATGGACAATACCCCTTGAGAGTACAAAAAGCAGACAGCAAGATCATACTCATCAGTGGCTACACAGTGCAGGACAGAAGGCAGAAACTGAAGGATTGTTGATAGCAGCACAAGACCAGAGCCTGTCAACGAGATTATACCACCACAAGATCATGACAGATGGAACAGACCCCATGTGTAGAATGTGCAGCCAATATGAAGAAACCATTGACCACATTCTCTCAGGCTGCCCCACTCTAGCCAGAACTGAGTACATCCACAGACACGACAGGGCAGCAAGCTATATCCACTGGAAGATCTGCAAACATTTCCATCTACCAGCTGCAGATAAGTGGTATGAACACCAACCACCAACAGTGACTGAAAACAACAACATCACAGTGTTGTGGGACATGCCGATCAACACAGACAGAGAAATCATGGCCAACAGACCAGACTTAATCATCAAAAACAAAGAAGAGAAGACCTGCCTCATGACTGACATGACCATCCCATCTGAACAAAATGTCACCACCAAGGAGCTTGAAAAGCTATCAAAGTACAAGGACCTGGAAAAAGAAGTCACAAGAATGTGGGGGATGAAGACAAAAATAATACCCGTCGTAGTGGGTGCACTTGGCCTCATCAAGAAGGGACCGGAAAAGAGAACAAAACAGATTCCTGGAAACCCAACTGTCTCCTGATAATAACTTTTTGTTTTCATTGACTTTTGATGTGCTAATACTAGTTTATCCATTTAATTATAGATCCACTAGGATAAATACAATAAAGTTTATCTTTCAACAAATACAACATTTACTAAGATATCACAATATAACTATAGACACATTACGTGTGTGTGTGTGTGTGTGTGTGTGTGTGTGTGTGTGTGTGTGTGTGTGTGTGTGTGTGTGTGTGTGTGTGTGCCTGCTCTGTCTTCTCGATCCCCAGTGAGCCGTGGTGGATGGCTGCTTATACTGAGCCAGGATTCTCTGGAGGTTTCTTCCTGTTAAAAGGGAGTTTTCCTCTCCACTGTCGCTGCATGCTTGCTTAGTATGAGGATTGCTGTATAGTCACTGACACTAGTCAGTGACTTGATGCAATTTGCTGGGTTCCTTATATAGGAAAGATTATTTCTGATTGGCTTAATGAACTGTGAATTGGAATGTTTATTATGTGAAGTGCCTTGAGACGACTCTTGTCGTGATTTGGCGCTATATAAATAAACTTGAATTGAATTGAATTGAATCCAAGAGATCCAGAAGATCGTTCTTCTCGGAAGTGCCCGCATCATCAGAAGGACGCTTTCCATAAACTAACCCTGAAACTGCCAAAGAAGCAAAGATCGATTCTGGCACTTCAGTGAAAGCATACAAATATACAAAAAATGTAATAATAATAATAATAATAATAATAATAATAATAAAGCACAATTCTAAAGTAAAGTCCAACTTTCATTGCTTAAATTTAAAGTATTTTTAAAAGTATTTTTACTTTTGTCATTTAATGATACCTGGCAGTCTTAAAATAGTTTGTTGTTTCAGCCACCTCATTCTTTCATTTCATGCTTTTTTTCTTTTCCCTCCATCATTTATCATGACTCCCTCCATTCTTTCCTCATCTTCTTGACCTTCCTGGTGTGTAGATGTGCCTCATTTTTTACAGTTGTCTCCTTCATACTTCTCCTCCTCCTTACCTCTGTAAATGTGTAGGCAGAAGTGAGTTTCAGTGGGTGACTTCAGTGATAAATGATGGTGTTATAATGAAACCCATCTCACATCCCTTTCCCGTACTTAAGGCTGAAGCTGGGTCTGCTTTCTTTTTAAACTAAATTAAAAGCAACCTACGGATTTTCTGTTTTAGTTCTGATTTGAATATATATATATATATATATATATATATATATATATATATATATATATATATATATATATATATATCTTATAATTTATTTACTAGATCCATTTGTGAGGCTTTTATTCACTATGACATTGAGAATCTATGAGTTGTGTAGTCAAAACATTTTGAAGTATTTTAATGTCTTCTTGTTGAACAACTAAAATGTATCGAATTTGGCTTTATTTATTTCTAGCGGTTCCCAGAAACAGAGTTTGGCATTTGATGTTGTATAATCTCGCAGATGAAGCAAAGTTTTTCTTTTTTACTTTTCTCTCTTTCCTGTTTGTATTAGGATTTTATTTGATTGCATTGTTTAGTTTTTGCTAATGCCACCGATAGTTTTGCTACCCTTCCCTGTTTCGGTGCTTTAAAGAAGGACCCCCTTGAAAAAGAGATGATGCATCTCAAGGGGTTTTATCCTATCGAAATATAAGTAAATAAATAAGTAAAGAACTAAATAAAATAAAAAAATTCAAGTGTTTTTGGAAAATAGCTGGAATTTCTGATCATTAAAACCCATAAAGTTTCCTAAACTTACATAATTTATTTAACTACTAAATGCAGCTTGCAGCTTAGTGTTGTGTGGTTTCATTTGAAATCTTCTACCTGAATTGTTTTTCCAATGAGACACATGGAGTGTCCTAATGTGGGATCAGTTGGCTTTGACGAGCGCAATGTGTCTTGTTTGTGCTAATTTTGACTTTATATTTGGGTCCACTCCCACCTTAGACACTTACTTTGTCTGAGAGATGTGTGTGTGTGTGTGTGTGTGTGTGTGTGTGTGTGTGTGTGTGTGTGTGTGTCAGTATTTAGCCTTGCTAATGTAACTTGATTCTTGTAACCAGATAACACAGACTGGACACTGGTCATTTAATTTTAATACTCATTGTGAGGCATACAGCTAACAACGCCAGCTTTTTTTCTCTATAGGTGGCTTTTAGACTTTAAGTTTGAAGTAAATCAGCCTAAATACACAACAATTACCTGAAAGGACTGTGTTAACATCCTTCTGAGCTCAAACGAGTCCTAAATGATTCATTTGTCCCTTGTGATATTTTTGTTCTACAA